GGTGAGCCTGAGCGTTAGGCTAGGCCTCCCCCATCAGGCAGGGGCAGAGCTGTGCCTCCCCATCAGAATGGCAGCTTCCTCGTCCAACCAGGTGAGAGGGGCTTGAGTCCTCCATCAGCCTGGGAGCTTCCTGAGAGCAAGGACCTCTCCCATCAGACTGGGAATGTTCCCCGTGGGTGGCTCTGTCTCCCCCATCGGACCGGTTGGGTCAGTGCTGTTCGCATCCCCATGTTCGGTGGCTGAAGCTCACACTCCATCCCCATGTGACCACGCCCCTCATGAACACACATGCCCACGAGAAAGCAGGCTTTGGAGGCTCTGTCACCCCCACAGAACAGGCAGTGCCTGGGCTACTCTGAGTGTGTCCTGGGCTTTCACAGGGTCACACAAAACATGCTGGTGGCAGGAGGGCTGGTTCCCCTCTGACAGGGCCGGAGCGGGTGCCCAGGAAGCCTGTCATGGTTCTGTCTCCAGGGAGGCCAGCTGGGGTCTCCTCCTAGACTCAGGTTTAAAACAGATCAAGACAGCTCGGGCCAGAACACAATCCCAACCCCCACCTCCAGCCCAGTCCCTTCCAGAACCCAGACCTCCCCAGAACTGCAGACCCCCCACCCTGACCTCGTCCCCCTCCCAGGTTACTGCATCCTCGCAGCCTCCACGTTCTGGTTAATTTTGAGAATTCACTGAAATGATGCTGATAGGAATAGCAGCAGGATGAGGGGCCATAGCAGTAATAGTAACAGCGAACTCCTAATACCTCCTGGGAGCTCACGGCCACCCCGCAAGGCAGGTGTCATGGACCATTTATTCAGCGGAGGCCATGGCAGCACAGATTATCGCATGTCTCAGGCCACACAGGAAATACGTGATAGAGCCAAGATTCAGACCCAAATCTGCATCACTCCAAAGCCCTCATTTGTGCACCACACCTCACTCCCTCCAGGAAGCCTGCCTTGGTTGCATCTCCCTGGCAGCAGCATCCTGCTGGCTGGGCTGTGGGTCTCGCGAGGAGCACAGGGATAACGTTATATCCCCAGTGACTTGAGCCTCGTGTCAGGCCAGCAAAGGTGTTCAGTTGTCTAGCGGGATGATTTGCTCTTGGAGGGGGAGTCACCTGGTGGCTAAAAGTCTGGCTGTGGTGGCAGACAGACCTCGGTCTTGGCCCTGACGCTTCCTCGGGCATTTACTTACCCTCCCTGAGCCTCAGGTCCCTCACCTGCAGAATGAGGCGAGGGGAGTGGCCGAGGGGGTGAAATGAGCTGGCAGGCCCAAGCGCCATGGTTATTGTTACTCTGATCCGCATCTAAAGCGAGGGTCCCTCTCAGATGCCAAGGCTCATCCGCCGCACGTCTTGGAGTCGTTTCCACAACCCCATCCTCCCTTGCTGTTGTCAGAGACTCGGAAATGGGTGTTGCCTGATCTGATCATTTCACTAGAGTAGCAAAGTCCTCATTGTCTCAGTGATGAATGTCACCAGCCCATTAGATCCACAGATCCAGGATCTAACAGACCCACAGAGCTCTCAGACGCCAACTCCTCTGCAAACGGGGGGACGTCTTAGCAAAAGCAGTCTGCCTCCGAGAGTGCGCAGCCAGGCGGCTGCGGTGATGTCAGGAATAATCACAATGCTGCCGCCGCCACCACCACTGCCGCTGCCGCCGCAGGACTGCTCCAGGCCCTTTCCGTGGGCTTGTCGCCACTGGTCCACAGCCATGGTGCAAGGTGTCGGTCGTGGTCCCCGTTTTAGGAATGAGGAAACCGAGGCTGGAAGCACACGGCAGGTCCTTGGCAGGGCTGTCCTTGAACACAGGCCTGCCGGATCCTAGACTTCAGGCTTGCTCACCGTCCCAAGCGGCCTCTACTCACTCGCCACTGTCCTAGGAAAAGTCTTGACCGGCATTTGACGAACGGGATAAAGGCACCCATGGGAGCCCCACCCTGCAGGGCACTTGGTAGCTAACCTGAGCACCGTGCACTTTGTCCCCCTCGTACTTAGATAGGACACTCCTCTCCCAGTGGAGATGGGCAGGACAGCAGTGAGTCTCCCTTTCATACAAGTTGGGAAACTGAGGCCCGGAGATGGGTTCAGCGGGAACGGAATGTCGTTGGTCAGTGCCCACGGCCATGGTTCCTGCATACACAGCTCCCCCATCCCCTCCTGGCCTTCTGGCAATCGAGCCAACCCGACACGCTACACACCCCCTCTTTCATAGGCCGCCCCCTGCCAGAGGCCCTCCCCCTTTCTCGGCACACCCTCCCCACCCCAAGCCCACACCCGCTGGCACCTATGCCTGTCCTGCCCTCCAACCATGCACTTCCTAGGGGCAGGGATGCCACTGCCCTGCTCACCTCCACAGCCCCAGTGGCCAGCACGGTGCCTGAATCCAGCAGAAGCTCGAGGGGTTTCTGAAAGATGTGGATGTGAGACTGGCTCCTCCAGGGAGTGCGGCCCCACCGGGTGGTGAGGACCCGGTGGAAACATCCGCTCCGCGCTGGCTCTTCTCGCTGGGTTCCCAGAGCTTCGAGCTTCTCGGAGGGTCCAGGTGAGAGGTGTGCCTCCCACCTCCACTGGGCCCTGCTTTCCTTCTCCCTTGTCCTGGGGCTGCCGCTCTTGGTGAGTGTGGAAGAGAGAACATTCGGGTGGGTGGGTGGACAGACTCTCGGACAGATGACAGAGAGATGGCTGGGTGGGAAGGTGGAGGAAACACTTCCCTTTTGGGCGGGGGGTTTGGGTTTTGTTTTTTTCTGTGAAGGCAGCTCTAGGGATATAAGGATGGAGATCGAGCCAGAAGGAATCCAGGACCCCGGGCAGCCCCACCTGCCAATTCCCCCATAGCCTGGGCTCTGCTCCCACCACCAGCACTCACCCCATCTTCCCTCAGACTCAGGGTCCTCAGCCCCATCCTTGCCTTGCTCTGTTGCCCATAGCAACAACCCAGACCCCACCTTCCATGTGGTGAAGCCCCAGCTTCTTTCCTTCCCAGGTTGGCAGAGCCAAGGTATCCTGCTTCTATACCCTCCAGAGCTGGGGCCCAGCCTTTTTATCAAAACACTAGAGGCCTGATGCATGAAATTCATGCACGGGTGGGGTCCCTAGGCCTGGCCAGTGATCAGAGCTGATCGGGGCCTTCCAGCTACCCACCGAGGCCTTCCTTCCCTGGCTGCCAGCTGCTGGCCAAGGCCTTCCTTCATTCCACGCCACCCCCTGGTGGTCAGCGCATGTCATAGCGAGCGATCGGACTCCAGGTCTCCTGGTGGAACTCCCGAGGGGGCACTTTGCATATTAGCCATTTATATATATACTAGAGGCCCAGTGCACGAAATTCATGCAAGAGCCTTGGCTCCGGCCCCTGCCCACCACCACCACCACGGCCGAGGGCCTCTGCCACCCCTGCCTCGGCCCCTGCCCGCTGGGATTTTGTATGGAAGGAAGGACATCTGGTCTAATTAGCATAGTACGCTTTTATTATTACAGATATTCAGAAAAGAAGCTCCCAAGAGCCCCTTCTCGAGCAGAAGGGAACTTTCCAGGATGGTGGAAAAGGATACTAGAGACCCAGGCCTGTCCACCTCCTTGTCCAACAGCCAGCACTCACCTGTGGGGCTCTGCAAGCTAATGGGATGAGAAACTGAATTTGTCATTTAAGTTAGTTGTAACTAATTTTAAAAATTAAGTAGCCATCGGTGACCAATGGCGACCACACGGAACGGCACAGTCCTGGGGCTGCTCTTGTGGCAGGTCTTCGGGTGCCGGGCCTCGGCCACTCCTGCCGAGGGTGGCGTCACTCTGGCTCCCGAACACTCCCCACCCAGGGGCAGCTGCTCCGTCTCTCCCCGTGTCCCATCTCAAAAAGAAAAACCCCTCAATCCAAGCACCGATGTTATTCTCGCCTTTTATTCCAGCATCTCCCAGAGCTCCAATATGTACAGACTTTATTTATACACAGATAATATACACCATATATACGTATTTATATATATTCACACACCAGCCCACACGCTCTCGTACACGCACACGCTCACGCCCTTCCAGGAGGGGCGCGGGCCGCCTCTGAGCCCCGCTCGGCCCGGACAAGAGGCGCTGGGCTTGTCAGGCAGTTGTGAGGTTTTGTGTTTTGTTTTTTAAAAAAGGCCATTTCCTCCAGAGGATTCTTCCCTCTCCACAAACCCAAGCCCCTCCCCCAAACTCAAAATTTTATCTTGTTTTAAAAGGAAGAGGTTTTCCTCTGCTCAGCCAAGACAGTTACTAGAGATCAGGCCTGTCCACCTGGGTGGTTACTAGAGACCCAGCCTGTCCACATGGGTAGTAACTAGAGACCCAGGCCCCTCAGCCGCGGATAGTAACTAGAGACTCAGGCCTGTCCCTGTGGGTAGTTACTACAGACCCAGGCCCCTCCACCTGGGTAGTTACTAGAGACTCAGGTCCGTCCACCTGGGTAGTTATTAGAGACCCAGGTCTGTCCACCTGGCTAGTTACTAGAGACCCAGGCCCCTCCACCTGGGTAGTTATTAGAGACTCAGGCCCGTCCACCTG